CCCCCAAGACAGCCTTAAGAGGTATTCAGGAGAAAGTAGGGACCCTGAGCTACACCATCCCATTTTGTGAATTGCTTGGTCCATGCTGACTAGAAGCCAAGTTTAGTGAATGAAAACACCTTTGATGAGAGAAACAGACTTGGGAGGGGTCCTGCTTCTGGAAGTAATGTTAGAGAGGCAAGATTAGGGATAGCAGAGGACTCTACTTACTCACCAAGTTCCCCGGGGGCTTTGGGTGTAGGAAATTGGTTAAACTTACTAAAGACACCGGGGCCCCAGGGAGATTGCTTCCTTGGTAAAGTGCTAGTTTTGCAAATGTGAAGACCTGAGTTCAATTCCAAGCACTCACGTGGAAAAAAGCTAGGCGGGACGATGTATGCTTTTAATTCTGGGGGTAGGAAGGTGGAAACGGAAGGATTCCTGGGTCTTCAAGGCCAACAGGCTAGGCTCTGGGCCAATAAGACACGGCTTCCCAAAGGAGACTGGCTCCCAAGGAACAACACTCAAGATTGCCCTCTGGTCTCCACAGGCACACATTTGTGCTGTTACACACACACACACACACACACACACACACACACATTTACAACCTCCCCCCACCACAACGAACACACAAACGCACACGCACACGTGGGCTCTTGCTGTGGTGTTTTGGAATAGAAACGGTGGCGAGCTTCATGTGAGCCCTATTAGATAGTGATTGACCAAGACAGGAGTGAGCGGCTACACCTCCAAGCTGTGAGAGCTAGTTCCAGCCTCCAGAGCTTGGGGTGCCAAACGCCCGACACCCTAGGGAAGGTCAGTCCCTCCCAGTCTCCTGGCAACGGAAGCGGGGCGATGTTTCCTGTTTTTGTGCCCTGATTCTGGTCGTATTTTCTCGGTACGGCAGGAGTAGGGTAGACGGCAGGTTGAGCCTCAGCCCCGAGGCACTGGGGCCGGATTTTCTTTTCTTGCGAAAAGCCAAGGAGGACTAGGCAGGCTGGGAGTCTCCGGCAGGGAGGTGTCCCCCTAAACCACCTTTCCCTCACTCTCTGTCGCCCTCTAGTGTCCTCATGTTGCCAACGCCCTTATCTTTAGTCTCTGGCTTCTGGAAATTGTTCGCTTACTCATTCAACAAACATTTCAAAGATGCCTGTACGGGTGTTAGGGTAGGGACGCAGAGGGAAGATTTTGCGTCTGCCACAGACTCTCAGAGCTTTGAGGAGGGATAGATAGTGTCCACGAATGAACAATTGGGACAAGAGTCTGGAGCCCTAACCAGATGCCCAGAGGATTGCAAAGAAGGTGGTAGCAGATACGTCCGGGCATCTGGACAGCTCCACGGAGTAGGAGGTGGCTGAACGGATGGGGGAGGGATTGTGCAATGAGCTCCCTTGGAGCTGTGACGACGGAGACACCGGGAGGCAGCTCTGACAGCGGAGGGAGATAAGGTTGGAATTACTGCAAGGCCGATGAACTTCTTGGTCATAGACCGGCAGGAAAGCCAGCGTCATTCGTTCAGACTGCCGTGTTCAGAGGCGGGGACTGAGCTGCGCACAAGGGAGACTCAAGAACTGTTGGAGGGTGAGGGTTGGAGAGATGGCTCATCAGTAAAGACCGTGCGCTGCTCTTGCCGAGGACTTGAGTTCTGTTCTCAGCACACGTGCCAGAGGCTCACATTTCCTTGTAATTCTACCTCCAGGACATCCAACGCCTTTTCTGGCCTCTGAGGGTCCTGCATGCACTCGTCCGTGCGTGCGGGTCCACACACACACACACACACACACACACACACACACACACACACACTTTTTTAAAAGTCCTATTTTTGGGGGGTGTAGTGTTTTTTTTTTAAAGAAATGTTTAAGGGATCAGAAAATAAATGACTATATGGGGGTGCACTTTGGAAATAACATGTGTGACGGTTGGAGGCATTTCCTGTTTCCTGTGCCTGTTTGGTCTGGGAATCTGGCAGGATGAAGGACTCTGCTTTGAAAGAAGCAGTGGTAGAGGCCACTGAGATGGCTCAGCAGGAAGAGGCACTGGCCAAACAAGCTTGATAACTTGAGCTGGATTCTGGGCACCCACGTATAGGTGTGAGGAGGGAACCGACTCCCCGAAGTTTGTCCTCTGGCGTCCACATGTACATTGTGACATGTGCCCCACCATACACACAAATAAAATTTAAAAATAGAAAACAGGGTCTGGAGGAGAGATGACTCGGGTTAAGAGCACTTGCTGCTTTTGCAGAGTACTAGGGTTTCATTCCTAGCAACCACAAGGTGGCTCTCAGTCGTCCATAACTCCAGTTCCAGTGATCTGACCCCAGCCACACAGGGCTTGCGGTGCACGTACATATGTGCAGCCCAGACACTCACACATGGGGAATACAAAAATAAATTTAAAACAAGAGAAAAAAAAAAGAAAAAGAGAAACAAAATAGTAGGAGAGAAGCTGTGTGTGCGTGTGTGTCTCTGTGTCTGTGTTTGTGTGTGTGTGTTGCTGGGGATGTAATCCAGAGATTCCTAAATGCTAGGCAGCTGCCCCACCACTGACCACACCCCAGCCCCTCACTGGGGATTCTAGGCAGGGGCTCTACCACTGAGTCACATGCTTAGTTCATTTGCTTTTTAACTATCTAAAGGGCTTAAAAGGTATCACCAGGGTTTCCTTTAGACAGCTTGGACCAGGAACAGAGCTTCTGGCTATATCAGGTGACTCTTCCAGCTCAGAGGAGAAGAAACTGGATAAAGGTTTTTTTTTTTTTTTTTTTTGGTTTTTCGAGGCAGGGTTTCTCTGTGGTTTTGGAGCCTGTCCTGGAACTAGCTCTTGTAGACCAGGCTGGTCTCTGGAACTGGACACAAAGGACATCTCCTGTCTGTGGCTAACCCAGAGACGAAGAGCCAGCAGGGTCATATCAGCTACACCCTCAGCCAAGATGGAAGGTGTGTGTGTGTGTGTGATTCTTTTTGTTTGTTGGTTTTTATTTTGAGACAGGGTTTCTTTATGTACAATCCTGGCTGTCCTGGAACTTGCTCTGTAGATCAGGCTGGCTTTGTACTCATAAAGATCTGCCTGCATCTGCCTCTCGAGTGCTGGGATTAAATGCATGGGCCACCGCTTGGCTATGTGTATAATTAAAAAAAAAATAGCCTTGCTATGTAAAGCCCAAATTGGCCTCCAAGTCTCATTCCTCCTGTCTCTGCCTTCTGAGCGCTGAGTTTACTGTCTGCAGCTGGACCAATGTTCTTGATAAGGGGACTTGAAGCACTTCAGAGTGTCTGTCTGTCTGTCTGTCTGTCTGTGACATCTAACATGGAACATGACATGCCTTGTGGGAGCCCATGTGTGACTCAGTTTCCATCCGGAGTCCATACTGACTTATAAGTCATCTGAATTCAAGCTTTCCTGCTCTGCCTTTTCCAATAACCTCGAGGGCTGTGAGAGACTTCTGACTTAGCCGTGAGAAAAGAACACTCGATATAGTAGAAAGAATCTGCTGACGCCAAACCTCAGGAACATCAAGATAGAAAGTGAGGCTGCTCCCGAGCAGCAAGCACGTGTTGGAGGGGAGGCTGCTGGCTCAAGGAGAGGAATGGTCTTGTGGTTAGATACTGACTGACCGTCTGAGCTGTGCTTTGTTCTGCTTTTGTATATAAGCAAGCTCTGAAGTAAACTCTGGGCTGTTTGGCTGTTTCGGCATGACCAGACAGACCTCCTGGGTCTCTCCTGTCTTCTGTCTCAGCTTCTTTCATCTGACTTTCCTTTGACCTTGAGGATCCCCACGCCAGGAACCCTGGCTGACTTTGTAGGACAGTCTCCTACAGTGCCTGCCAAGTGTGGGCAAGGGCCCGCTCTGCTAAAGACAGGCTCTTCACTTCTGCCATATTCCCAGGAAACGCTTGACTGAGCACCAGCTTACAGTCTGGGGAGTTGGCTCTGGTGGTAAAGTGCCCGCTGAGGACCTGAGTTCGGATCTCCTGCACACATGTAAAAGCTAGGTATGGGGGCAGACATCTGTAACCCTAGTGTTGGGAGTGATGCGGGAATCCTTAGCCCTAGTGCTGGGTGTGAGGGTGGTGAAGCAGAGACAGAGGGAACCTAGGAGCTCCATGGCCCGTTAGTGAGCTCCAGGGTCAGTGAGAGACCCTGACTCTAATTAGGGCGGAGAAGCTTAAGTAGATGAAAGACACTTTATGTTGGTCTTTGTCTTACACAGTGTGTGTGCACAGTACACACCACATACAGCACATATACTACACATACCACACCATACACTACTCATCACTCACTCACCTCACACTCACATTTTACACACACACACACACACACACACACACACACACACACACACACGAGATGTCTTTGAGACAAAGGAAAAAAAAAGGGAGAAACAAGAGGAAGAGGAGTAGGAGGAAAAAACCCAACCAGGGCATGGTAGCGCATGACTGAAATCCCAGTAATTAGGGGGTTGAGGCAGGAGGATTACAGAGAGTTCTAGTCTGGTCTGGTCTACTAGGCTAGTCAGGGTTACACAGTAAGACCCAGTCTCAAACAAACACATAAACATGGGCCAGGAGGATGGCTCAGCGGGCACAGGTGCTCACCTCACCTGCCTGGGGGCGGAGCTGGAGCTCCTGTAAAGGTGGAAGGAGAGAGCGGGACTCCACAGAGTTGCTCTCTGACCTCCACACACGGGCAGTGGCACAGGCACCCCACAGTCTTGCACACATAGACACAATACATTTGAACAAACAGCCCTCAAGACCTCCAGGCGGGAAGGACATTCTCTTGACTCTGTCTTCCTCCCCGCTTTGAGCTTCAGGAGGCTGTGTAGTCTCTCGCTCAGAGGCAGGGGACCGGACATGATGGAGATGCCACCTCTTCTCACAGGGCTCTCCGGAATGTGAGCCCTGCTCAGTCGTCCCAGGGAAGGACCCCAGCCCCTTTCCTTCCTCCCGAATCTTCCCCTGATGGTCGCAGCCACAGAGACCCAGGCTCACTCAGTCTGTCATCCGGGCACCTAATGTATTTATTACAGTCCAATTTTTTTTTCCCGCACTGCGGAGAAAGAGGGAAGGGGAAACTGAGAGAGGGTGGGAACCCGGATCAGACCCCAGACTCCTCCCCCCAACCAGAGCCCAGGGCATCTGCCCTATTGGGCCAAGGAAGACTTCGAGATCCCTGAGGGCCCCAGCAGGGGGAGGGCTGGGTGCCACGGAAGAGGGCTAGAGGGGGGACCACTGCTTCCCCATCATGCCCCAGGTGGACGGCTTTGGCTGGAACCTACCACTCCTGTTCTGAAAGCCTTGACCAACCCTGACCTAGCAAAGCCTGGGAGCGAGGCCTCCCTTGGGCAGGCTCCGAAGTGCGCTGCATGCTGGCCTCTGTTTGTGGCCATGAGCAATCATTTGGCCCGTGACCCAGACAGCAGTCGGTATAGTCTCCCAGTAGCCCTTGACCTGCCTCGGCATCTGACTGCATTGTTTGGGCCCACACTAAAAAAAGAAAAATATCCCTCGGCTTTCTACCCGTGTTCTTTTTTAATCTTCTGACCTGAATCCCCAGTCTTTCTCTGTCTCACATTTGAGACAGGGTCTCCTGTACCCCAGACTGAATTCAAACTCACTCTGTAGCCTAAAATGACCTTGAACCCCTGGTCCTCCAGAGTGCTGGGATTACAGGCATGCACCAGCATGCTTGGTTTTATGCTTTGGGGTGGAACCCAGGACTTCATGCATGCTAGGCAAGCACTCTACCAACTGAGCTATGTCCCCACCCCTGTACCCCCATCTTTGACTTCAGGGCTAGATACAGATGTGGTATGTGCCACCTCTTGTGCTGACGAAGGCCTAGATGATGTGGCCTTGGCCTCCGGCTTGCTGCTATGAGGGCAAGGGAGAGAGATGGGACCAAGTGTGAGCATCTCATCCTGCCTGGCGATACACCAAGAGTTAGGTGGGTCTTGCTTCCCCCTGAGATCTGGCTCGCTTCGCTGTCTGCAGATCAACTCCGCGGGAGATAGAGAGGAGGGGAAGGTCCTGGGTTTGGCACCTTCCAAGCTGTGCAAGGGTCCACTGAGCAGAGGTGAAGTGAGAGCCAACAGGGGACTCTTGTGCCATACCCAGGCAATGGGCCCCAAGGCTGGTAAGCTGGCCTCAAGCAGAAGAGGGGCGTGGTGATCTAATCTGTGTTCGAAAAGGCTCTTTGTTCCCTGGTCATGGTGGGTGGGCAGGGCGTGGGGATGGGCACATTTTAGGGACAAGACAATTCGATTCCTCCTTGTGGGTGGGACACCCACCAGAGAAGCTCTTCCCCAGTCCCAACTGCCCACGTGCTGCCCCACCCCCATCCCGGGACCTCTGTAACAATATGGGGGTACAGACCCCTCCTTCCCAGGTCTCAGGGCCCCAGCCTCTCCTGGTTGTGCCAGGGCCTTCTAACCCCAGATGGGTCCGTCTGGACTTAGAAGCCCCCGCTCTCAGAGCTGCTCCTGCTGTGGTAGCTGGGACTGCGGCTCCTGGAGCGGCTGCATGAGCGGCTGCGGGTCCCATGACTGCGGCTACTGTAGCTCCCGTGGCTGTGGCCCTGACTTGGGCTCCGGCTGTGGCTCCGGCTTGAGTAGTCGCTGCTCAAGCAGCTGGAGGAAGAGGAGGGGCTGGGTCGGTAGTAGGGGATGGGACGCTTTCGGGCACTGTAGGAGAGAAAAGCAGATCCTAGTCCACCTGGGGCTCTGCCCATCCGGGGGTCTCAAGCGGCCTCAATCCCCATCACAGCAGTGGCAAGGGCTTCCTGCCTACGTTTTTTTTTTTGAGCCTTGGCCTCAGGGACAACTCCAGTTCCAAACTTCTGTGTCCTTTGCCAAATTCATACCGATTGTCTGTTTGTTTTGTTTGTTTGTTTTTGTTGTTGTTTTTATTTTGTCTGCCCACAGGGCAAAAAGTCCAAGTTCTTTATTGACCTGAGTGTTAGGAAATATTTTCTGAAAAAAATATGATATTTTATGAATAAATGAAAGTTTATTAATTGTTGTTGTTATTGGTGGTGTGTGTTTCTTTTTCTCCTGTTGTCGATGCTGGGGGTAGAAAGAAGCCAGAACCTCACAAATACTAGTACCCCTGAGTTCACCCTGAACTTCATGAGTGAAAAAAATTATTGAATTATGTGTCTTATGTGGAGTTTGTGCCCATATGCAGGGGCCCTGGAGACCCAAGATTGCCGGATCCCCTGGAGCTGAGGCATACAGACACTCCCACGTGTAACCTGAGACTTGAATTTAGGTCCTTTGAAAGAGCAGCAAATGCTCTTAACCACTGAGTCAACTCTATAACCCAAAACTTCATTTTATTTTTATTTTCTGAGGAAGGATTTTTTTGGGGGGGAGGGGAGGTTCGAGACAGGGTTTCTCTGTAGCTTTTGGAGCCTGTCCTGGAACTAGCTCTTGTAGACCAGGCTGGCCTCAAATTCATAGAGATCCACCTGCCTCTGCCCCCTGAGTGCTGGGATTAAAGGCGTGCACCACCGCCTACCTGGCTGAGGAAGGATTTTTTTATAGCTCAGGCTGCCCTGACTATGTAGCCAAGGCTGGCCTTCAACTCCTGATTCTCCTGTCTCTACCTCCTGAGTGCTATAACCACGGACATGGGCCACCACATCTGACTTTCTCTCTCTTCCTCCTCTTCCATTTTTATTTTCTTGCTTTCTTTTCCTCAGCATCAATATGTAGCCCAGACTAGCCTGTAATTTTCAATCTTCCCGCCTCAACTTCTGAGTTCTGGGATCAGATGTATGTATGTGCCCTTATGTCCAGCAGGAATAAAACTTTTATTTTTGAAACAGAGTTTCACGTATCTAACCTTAAACCTCCTGTGTAGCAGAGTGTGACCTTGAACTTCTGGTCTTTCTGTCTTTAACCTCCTAAGTGTTGGGACTGAGAATCTACCTCACCTGTCCGTGCATGCTGAGGACTGAACACTGGACTCTGCAAACCCTCCAGTAACTGAGCCGTATCTATAGACCTTTGAATGAAGCTTTTTAAATAGGGACAACACACATAAAAAAAGGCCAGTAATGGCTTCTCTGCTTGCAAGTATTATGGCTAAATCCTGTGTTTCCTGCCCCCTAGTCCCTGTTCCAAATAGAAGATTTAGGGTTTTTTGTTTTGTTTTCGTTTTTTTTCTTTTCTGAGACAAGGTTTCTCTGTGTGTAGCTCTGGCTGTCCTGGAATCATTCTGTACACCAGTCTTTGCCTCCCAAGTGCTGGGATGAAAAGCGTGCACCACCACCCCCAGAGTGCAGGTGGATTTTTAAGGTCTCTCAAAGAGAACGAGGAGGAGACCCTTGGCCACTGCTGTCTTTGTTTCGGTCTTCACCCCTTCTCCCCCCTTCACCCCAACCAGCTACCTCCCCCCCTCCCCCCCACCCCCCCGGCCCGGAGTTAGTTTGAAGGCAGGAGGCTATGACCCAGAGAAAAGAAAAGAAAGTGGTTAAGGGGGTTATAAGGCCCCATCTCAAGGGTTAAATCTGAGGAAGAAAAATAGATGTGCATTAGTGGGAGGAGGAGGCAGCTGGGAGAGGGGCTGAGGTGCAAGCCGGGTGGAAGATGGGAGGTTCTGGCCATCCTAGAACCGGCAGTGTACAGCGGGAGCGTGTGACCTGTCCGGGAGCTTTCCCTCTGAGTAAAGGAGGAGCCCATGCTGCTTTATTGGAACCCAGATTATCAAGGACGAAGGGGAACTATTTTGAGAATCAAGAGTCGGAGCTAAAAGATTCTTACAGATTTCAGATAATTATGCACCTCTGGTCACTGAGGTGTGTCAGTCTCCCCCAGGCCCCTCAGCAAGACAGGGCAATGCGGGACTCAGCGTATGGCAATCTATTTATACTGGGGCAAAATCCTGGACTGCAGTGTGATTTTTAATTTGTTGGTACTAGGGATTGAATCTAGGACCTCATATATGGTAGACAGGAGCTCTCCCACTGAGCCACACCCCAGCCCCTCACTGGGGGTTCTAGGCAGGGGCTCTACCACTGAGCCATACCCCAACCCCTCACTGGAGGATTCTAGGCAGGTGCTCTTCTACCCAGCCAAGGCCTTCACTGGATGATTCTAGGTAAACATTGTACCAGTCTTTTCGCTTTGAGGCAAGGTCTTGCTAGGTTCCTCAGGCTGGGCTTGAATTTTCCACCCTGTCTGCTTCAGCCTACCTAGTAGCTGGGATGAGAGGCCTGAGCCACCAGTCCCAGCTTTAGGGTGATTTCACCTACAGACTCAGAACCCCCTAGTCTTCCATCAAATCAGCCACACTCCTCATTCTGCACTGGGGTTCCTCAGACAGCTGCTCCAGATACTAGGATGCTCTGCCCCCTCCACCAATTTCCCCAGGTGCTGGGAGGTTAGTGAGAAAAGGAGCCGCAGACGACAGCTGGCCACCACCAGACTAGCTCACATGGGCATCACTTGGGCTGCCTGTGGAGCCCGGTCCACACGGCCCCCAGGCTGGCCACAGGCCACGCAGCAGGAGGTTCCTTGAGATGAAGGAAAAAGTACATATCACTGAGGATGTGACAGACACAGGGAGGGGGTTGGGGGAAAGGAGGGGCTCCAGATGAATGAATGGAATCTCCCAGAGCTGAACTCCATGCCTGCGTATGGACACCCCGACCCAAGTACAGACTGGCTCTGGTCCATGCATCTGCATCTTTCCTTCCCAAGGTGTCTGACGCCCTGGCACGCGCGTCCCTCCCCAACTCTTCGATGACCCCTGAATCTCTTCACTCAGTCCCTCTCTCTTTTAGTTCCTCCCCTCTTGGCAAACCCTCCTTTTTCCATCGGATCAGAATCAGTGCATTCTAGAAGTCCCCCCGAGGTTTGTGAATCTCGACTCCCTGACATCCCTGCCACCAACTAGAGTCAGCAGCTCTATTCCCACCTCACCCTCAGGCCCCTTTGTACCTGGTGATGCGCCTTGGCTCCATGAAACTGGGCGAGTCGCGGCGTCGCTTTCGGATGGGCGAGTAGCTGCGGGAGCGACGTCGGGTGCGGGCGGCCTCAGCCTCGGCATGCCTCGCACGGCCTTCGCTGTCTTTGTCCCTGTGGGGCCCACTCGTGGGTGAGGGATCCCCGCCATCTGGGCCCTAAACCCGGGTTCTCCGCCATCCGCCCCCTAGGGACACTTACCGGCCAAGAGGTTTCTTGGGAGACGGGGAGAGGCTGGGGCTGCGGGTCCTTTTATCTGGGGAGCGTGAGCGGGATTTGGACGGCGAGCGGCTGGAGCTCCAGGACCCCGGATGGGGGCCGGGGCTGCGCGATGAGCTGTTCCCCTCTGGGCCACCCCGCCGGCTGTGCGCGCCTGGAGATGGTGAGGTGCTTGTGGGCCGCGCGCGCGGGGGTCGCTCCTTTGCCCTAGAGGAGGGAGCGTGGGCCATGGCTCAGGGTTGTGGGCCTGTGGGGCGGGGCTCAGTGGCTGGCTGCGGGGCAGGGAGTTTCGGTTTTGTGTGGGGTGGTAGTAGGGATCCGTGAGGCCAGCACAGAGGAAATGAGGTGTCAAAGGGACAAATTAGGGAGTCCATGTGGGGTGACTAACAAGGGAGGTTCCCTTGGAGGTGATGGGGGATGCATGTGGGATGTCGAGAGGGAAAACCCCATGTGGAGTGATCAGTGAGGGGTTGTATGTGGGGTGACCCCGAGGGCTGTATGTAGGGTGACCAACGAGAGGTTCCGTTTGGGGGTGATCAGTGAAAGGGTACTCCTGTGTGGTGCAGGCAGGAGGCGGGCTCACCGTTTCCCGTGTCCGCTGTGACCTCGCTCTGAGCCCGGCTCGGGCCCTGGACCCGGGGCTCCGCCGCCCGACTCGCTGCTGGAGTGAGCCCCGCTAAGCGAGCGGGACGAGCCCCGGGGTGGCGCTGGCTTTGCACGCCGGCGCCCTCTGCGGCGGGTCGCGTTGGCCGAGGATCGCGATCGCCGCCTCCTCCTCCGCCGGCGACGGCGCCTGGCCGCCCCTCCCGCCGCGCGGCCCCCACGTCCCTGAGACGACGGCGCGGAGCGCGGGCTCTGACTGTCTTTCCCACGCGCGGGCGGCGTGGGCGCGGCGGTCACCTTGTCGCAGGCCCGGGGCGAGCTAGGCTTCTGACGGGGAGAGAGGCAGAGAAGGGCACGGAGGGGCGGAGAGGGGGCGAGAGAGGTCGGGAAGGATGCACAGGGGAACCGGAGCAAAGAAGGTAGCGGATGCAGAGGACAGACACAGGGGATGGAGTGGGGTGGGGTGGGGCAGTGAGGAAGCAGAGGGAAGCGGTGCAAGCAGGACAGAGAGGTGGAAAGAAAAAGAGGAGGGGTCGAGGGGGGACGTGAGAGGGCAGTGGGGTGGGGGGAGAAAAGGAGAGAGGGCTTTCACCGGGCCTAGGCCGCGGGCTGCAGCCCCGGAGCATCGCACACACGGTTCCCGCGCCTGCCCTGCCTCTACCTCTCCTGAGTGTTCACCTTCTGGCCTCAACATAGCAGACCATGCAAGGTTCTCGGCATGCATAACACAAGAGGGACGGAGCGGTGGGGATGGGGGCTGCGGGGGGAGGGGGAGCTCCAGGATGGGGCACCAGAGGGGCTGGCATTGTCCCCTCATGGGGGACAGACAGTTTCCCTCCCAGTAGAGAGAAGAGAGAGGGACGACACTGGTAGGTCAAGCCAGGGCCAGCCCACCAGGGCCAGGCTCCCCCCACCAGGATAAAGGGCATGGAAGGGGCGGGTGTCACACGGCACACAGATGGGGGAGGGGCAAGATAACTGAACTCAAAATTTAACCGAAGAAAAGGAGTCAAAACAGAAATAAAAAAGAAAACCAAAGTAATAATAATAATAACAGAAACAAAAAAACCACAAATGTCATTATATACCCAAACCAAAATGATCTGCTGGGGAACCTGACTTTTTTTTTTTCTTTCTGTTAATATTTGACTTTGTTTTGCGACCCTGCCGAGAGCTCAGGGGTGTTCAGTAGCTGACCAACTGTCTTTCTGTTTCTCTCTTTTCTTTTTCTTTTTCTTTTTTTTCATTTCTTTCTTTTCTTTTTTTTTTTACGTTCTGATTTTTTTTTTAAGTCCCTCTTGGTTAACGTCCACTTACCAATAAAGTGGCACTTCCTCCTTTAGTAGGTGAGTTGTGTAAGAGAAGGGAAAAGCGTGGCAGCATAAGTTCATCATTAGAGTCACAAAAATGCAAGAGAGACAGAGAGAGAGAGAGAAACGCAACCACCCCAACTCTAGGCCCAAGAGGAGGCCGATTCACCTCTAGAGAGGACCAGCCACGTCCAGCTCTTTGGGCCTCAGCCAGTGCCCTTGGCTGACATCTGGATAGGGCTGTTAATTTTTTTTTCCAAGAGTGAGGACCAGAAATGTAAACTGACACCATCCAGAGGTCCCTGGCTGGGAACTAGGAATCTGAGAGCCTGTCACTGCCTCAGTACCATGGGGCCCTTGGACAAATTAATTTCCCCAGTCTAGGCCTCAGTTTCCCCATCCGCACAATGAGGGTGTTTGGCTTTTTGCTTCCCGATGTCTGTTATGGGGTAAATAGTCCAGGATGCTCTAACTGTGCCCTCCCCAGCCTCCCCACCCATCCCTGCACAGAAGGGGCCCCAACCTTGCAAGGGCAGATAGTAACTATTCCGTTTGCGGATCTGTCCCCGATACTTCCACAGTCTTTGTCCAGCCAGATTTGCTGTCTCACTACGTAGCCTTGGCTAGCCTTGAGAGCCACTTGCTTTTGCCTCTGAGTGCTGGGATTAAAGGCGTGCACAACCATGTATATATGTATGAAAGGATCTGTACACACATATGCAGCCAGGATGACCTTGGGCTCCTGATCCTACAGCTGCCGCCTCTTAAATGCTAGGGTTACAAATGCATACCATTCCTAGCTCCGTTTGTTTTAGACAAGGTCTTACAATACAGCTTTGAACTTGAGATCCTTCTACCTCCATCTCCTGAATGCTGGGATTACAGGCAAGTGTACCACCATGTTGGGCATAATCTCAACAAAATATGATAGTAAGTAATTTCTTAATATTAAGGGCTGAGGAAGGCAGAATTGGCCTCACTAAGAGCCAGGGCCAATCAGGGCGTTCCAGGTGCCAGGAGGGGTCTGAACTGAGTTCGTTCAACTGCCTCAGGATATCTTGCTGTCATAGATAACAAACTATGGTTTCCTTTGCTTGGCTCTGGATGTTTCTGGCAGAGGGGATCAGAGACCCAGAAGGCTCTCTAAAGGGCTCCATAGAATCCAACAAAGATCTAGAGCCAGGAAGTGGGCCTCGTCGCTGGAAATGACTGATGGCTGAGGTGATCTATGAATACCAGTCCTTGCTGGTCAGCACACTGTGGGAGTCAGTGAGGCCATGAAGACTTCTGGGAGAGCTGGTCTTTTTCCCAAAGCAGAGGCAGGCATGGGTGTCCAGAGTGGGTATGATCTGGCAGTCACTTGCCCCACAGGTCAGTCTTCACTTCCTGAAAACTGGAGGCTTAGTTTTATTTTAGATGAGGTCTCATGTAGTTAAGGCTGGCCTGGAACTCTGAACTCTTGATATAACTGAACTGCTGATTCTCCCGACTTTACTACCTGAGTGCTGGGGTTCCAGGTGTTCTTACGCAGTTCTGGGGTTCGAATCCAGGACTTGATGCATGCATGCAAGCCAAGTTCTCTACTGACTAAGCTATATCCCAAGTCCCATTTAAAATAATTGAGACAGGGTCTCATGTAGCCCAGCCTGGCCTCAAATTCTCTACGTAACCAAAGATAACCTTGAATACCTGAACATCCCTGCCTTTGCATCCCAAGTACTGGATAATGTGCCCAGATTATACCATGCCCGGTTTGAGGCTGGTTGTTGTAAAGACAGTTTCATTCTCAACAGAAGTCTCCAGGAGAACCCTCAGCTGTCCTCCCCGGCCCCGAGCGGACAACTTCTCCCAGTCCCCTGGCTATACCAGGGTTCTCTCACTGAATTTCCTTTTAGGAGGCAAGCGAGAAAGACATCTCTAGGATCTTAGGATGCATCCTATGCCCAGGGTGGTCAACTTGTTAAGTAAATAGAGATATCAGGTAAGGGAGCCTTAGGAACGGATGCATGGTAACGACAGCTCGGGGTCACCGCAGACCCCTCCTTTAAGGCTACTCTGGTCAGGGGAGGCAGCAAGGCTACTGGTAAAGGACCATATTGTGATCAGGACCACAGTCTGTATCTGAGCTAGAGACCTGACTCAAGGAAAGGAACAGGATCAAGGAGGAAGGTCAGGTCTATAATGTTCCTTCTATAGACATGCAGAGCCTCCCTCCCATGTCTCCCCCCCCCCATCAGGACTAGAGATCGAACCTAGAGCCTCACGCGCGCTAGGCAAGTCGCTCTATCACTGAGCTACAGTCCCAGCTCCTAAGTTGTCACTTTTTTTTTTTTTTTTTTTTTTTTT